AGACGCACGGAGCATAGGCCTGTGATCCCTCCTCCTCCTCCATCCGCCTGCCCTTAGCGTGTTTGCAATCTTCCCACCCTTTTGTACCTTTCTTTTTCGTTTTTTCCCCCAATCAATCAAGCAATTAATTAACCAAAATATCGATCGATCAAGATCCATTGACTGATTGATTGATTGACTAATTAATTGGGGGAATAAGAATGAAAAAAAAACAAAAGGGCTGCAAAACGCAAAACTGCGAAGGGCAAGTGGCAATTGTTAGATCTTGCACTGCTTTTTTTTTTCATCATTCTTTTTTATATTGTGCACACAGGCAGTCATACAACCTCACATGCACACACAAAAACAAGATTGCAATGTTGATATGAGTAAACTCGATCACTTTTCTAAGGAGTATCGCTAACTCTAGGTGATGTGGTGATTCCTTATTCATCTGTTTAATGCATCTTCGACAGACCGCTGGGGTTTAACGTTATCATGAGTCGGCGAAAATCCAACGAAACATTCTCGCACAATCATTATTTTTTTATTAAGTTGTGTAGAACGTATACAACAAAGCATACTTATACACACGCACGTGAGCTCTCGCGTTGCTACTACTCCGATTTTGTTTTTTTATACACTTTTTTTCTATAACTAATTTATATTTTTTCTCAAATTTTAATAAGATTTTGCAAGGGACATTCAAACAAGCATTGTTTGTTAAGACACACACAGACACGCACACACATACACACACACACAAAGACACATTGTACCGGTCCAAACGAACCCTGTTGGCAGACCTCGAAAACACGTTCTCGTGAACATATTCTCGACCCGTTTGCACGAACATGTGAAGGTGTTCGCCGTAACAGGAAGGGCCGAGCACGTAATTATTTTTAAAAAAATAATAATAAATATTATAATTTTATTTCCGGTTTTTTATTTTTAACTCATAACTGGCTACGAATTTAAACATGATATTATAATTTTATTTTCGGTTTTTGATTTTTAACTCATGACTGGCTACGAATTTAAACATGATATTCTAATTTTATTTTCGGTTTTTTATTTTTAACTCATGACTGGCTACAAATTTAAACATGATACCAAGGTAAACCTTTTTTGTATTTTTATTTTACACAACAATGGGTTGCCAGGCCGAATTTACGGAGGCCACTAAGTTGACCCCCGAACGTTCGGGCGTCCGGGTCCCGAACCTGAAGGGGTTCCGACCCAGCAAACAGGGATTTGGGTACTTTAGTATTATTATTAGTTTCTGAATTTTTTTTTGTAAGTTGTTTGTGATGTAAGGTATCTCCCTGTCAATTCGGAAGCCATCCTATTTAGCCCAAAAAAAATGAAAAATCTGCAAAGATGGTGGTGTAAAAACTTGTTTGGCCACTTACCAATTTGTTTTTTTTCTCTTTATACTTTTTGTTTTTTCTTTATTTCGGTGCATAATTTTTTTATTTTTTTTTTCAAAGTTTATTTGTAGATTCTCTATTATGTCAGATAGAAATGTATAATTTTTTATGGCATTTTTCACAGTTTAAAAGAAATAAAAAATCACCAAAGATGACGGTGTCAAAGAGGTGCATTCTCGTTTTGTTTTTTGTAATTTTTATGATTATTATTTCTGTTTAGTATTTAATTTTTATTTCAAATTTGGTAAAGAATTTGGATGTAACGTTGAGGCAAATGTTGTTTTGCTTATTCTTCTGCATAATATATATTTTTTGCAGAAGTTTTGAAAATGGTTTTTGTTTTGTATTTTTTTTGGGGGGGGGTCCGCGTTCGGCCGAACGACCGAACGGCCGAACGCGTCGAGAGGGGGTACCGAACGGTCGGGGGTTCGGGTTCGCGCGTTCGGCCCATCTCGATGCCGGCAACCATAACATAACATATATTTTCATTCGATTTTTCTGAGAACTTTTTATTTTGTTTTTTCTTAATAATTTTTATGTTCGCATTGAGACGGTTTTTGCGATTTTGCAGTTTCGGGCGAACATGATCACGTTCGTCTGCGAACGTGAACACGGTGCTATATAGAGGCATGCCTTAGTGTGATTTTGTTTTTTCATTTTTTATTTTCGATGCAGTGAGAGATTTTGTTGTAACCCTTCACCAAACATTGTTTGTATTGCAATTTTGCACAACATTTTTTTTTTTGGGAATTTTTTTACTTTCATTTTGTGATGCAGGATGGATTGAAATTTGATGAATTGATTGATTGATTAATTGATAAATTGATTAATTGATTGATTTATCGATCGATTGATTTCATTGATTTTAAATTATTAATTGATTGATATCTGCGTAGCACGGCGAACGTGTTCGCGGGCCTTCCCGTTCGGGCGAACACGTTCTCCTGTTTGCGCGAACGGGTCGAGAACGCGTTCGCGAGAACGTGTTCTCGAGGCCCGCGAACGGGTCAAGAACACGTTTGCGAGAACGTGTTCTCGAGGCCCGCGAACGGGTTCCGCCCGGGCCGGTACCGGTAGCCGGCGGGGGTTCGGAGGGCCTGAGGGCCGGTGGTCGTCCGTGTGGGAAGGGCGCGAGCGTGGGAATCGGGTCCAGGGAGAGGAGCAAGGGGGGAAGGTTCAGTTTCGAATTCGAATCATTCGAAACTACCCTCGCATCGCCCCACGCTCCAGATGCTGCCATGTCCGGCGCCCATCGCTGTCAGGTGAGTCCCCGCGGCCCCTCGTCCTCCTCTTCCTCCTCCTCCTCCTTCTCCTCCACCTCCTCCATCTCCTCCTCCTCATCAACTCCGACCGTCGTCCCACGGCTGCCACGTCAGCACGGTCGACATTCTTCTCCTCCTTTTTCGTCTTCTTTTCCTCCTCCTCCTCCTTCTCCTCCTCCTCCTCCTCCTCCTTCTCCTCCTTGTCGAGCACTGTCGTCGTCCTGCGGCTGCCTCGTCAGCATGCGCGATTTTTTTTTTTTTTTTTTTATTCATCTTCACCATCTTCTTCTTCTTCTTCTTCTTCTTTTTCTTCTTCTTCTTCTTCCTCTTCTTCTTCTTCTTCGTGATATCTTTTTGTTCTTCTTCTTCTTCTTCTTCTTTTCCTCCTACTCCTCGTCGTCGTGGTCGTCCTCCTCCTCCTCCTCCCCCGTCCTCCTTCTCCTCCTCCTCCTCCTCCTCCACCTCCTCTACCTCCTACATCTCCTTGTCCTCCTCCTCCTGAAGTCCGATCGTCGTCGCGCGGCTGCCACGTCAGCACACGCGGCGTTTTTTTTTTCGTCTTTTTTTTTATCTTCTTCTTCTTGATTTCTTCTTCTTCTTCTTCTTCTTCTTCTTCTTCTTCTTCTTCTTCTTCTTCTTGATTTCGTCTTCTTCGTCTTCTTCTTCTTCTTCGTCGTCATCTTTTCCTCCTACTCCTCCTCGTCGTCGTCGTCCTCCTCCTCCTACTACTTCTCCTCCTCCTCCTCCTCCACTACCTCCTACACCTCCATGTCCTCCTCCTCCTGAAGTCCGATCGTCGCGCGGCTGCCACGTCAGCATGCGCAACCTTTTTTTTTCGTTTTTTTTTTCATCTTCTTCTTCTTCTTCTTCTTCTTCTTCTTCTTCTTCTTCTTCTTCTTCTTCTTCTTCTTCTTCTTCTTCTTCTTCTTCTTTTCCTCCTACCCCCCCTCGTTGTCATTGTCCTTCTCCTACTCCTCCTCCTCCTCCTCCTCCTCCTGAAGTCCGATTGTCGTGCGGCTGCCACGTCAACACGCACGACCTTTTTTTTTCGTTTTGTTTTTTCATCTTCTTCTTCTTCTTGATTTCTTCTTCTTCTTCTTCTTCTTCTTCTTCTTCTTCTTCTTCTTCTTCTTCTTCTTCTTCTTCTTCTTCTTTTTCTTCTTCTTTTTCTTCTTCTTCTTTTTTTTCTTCTTCTTCTTCTTCTTCTTTTCCTCATACTCATCGTCCTCCTTCTCCTCCTCCTCCTCCTCCTCCTTCTCGTCGTCCTCTACCTCCGACACCTCCCTTCTCGTCGTCTTCTCCTTCTCCTCCTCATCCTCCTCCTTTCCTCGTCTTCTTCTTCTTCTCTCCACCTCCTCCTCCCCGTCATTTTCTTCTTCGTCGTGCGGCAGCCATCTTCTTCTTCTCTCCACCTTTCGTCGTCATCTTCTTCCTCTCCTCCTCCTCCATTTCCTCCTCCTCACCCTCCCTCGTTCTTCACCTCTCTCTCCTCGTCCTCCCTCCCTCTCTCTCTCTCTCTCTCTCTCTCTCTCTCTCTCTCTCTCTCTCTCTCTCACACACACACACACACACACACATATACACACACATGCACACATACACATCATCACACACACACACACACACACACACACACACATACACACATACACGCACCTTTCTTCTTCTTCTTCCACTCCTCGTCCTCGTCGTCCTCCTCCTCCTCCTTCTCCTCGTCCTCTACCTCCTACACCTCCCTGTCCTCCTCCTCCTGAAGTCCGATCGTCGTCGTGCGTCTGCCACGTCAGCATGCGCGACCTTATTTTTTTCGGTTTTTTTTTTTTATCTTCTTCTTCTTGATTTCTTCTTCTTCTTCTTCTTCTTCTTCTTCTTCTTCTTCTTCTTCTTCTTCTTCTTCTTCTTCAGAATCTCTCCTCGTCCTCCTCCTCCTCCTTTCTTCTTCTTCGTCCTCTCCTCCTCCTCCTCATCCTTTCGTCGTCGTCTTCTTCTTCTCTCCACCTCCTTCTCCCCGTCATCTTCGTCTTCGTCGCGCGGCTCGCATGTCAGCACGCGCATCTTCTTCTTCTTCCTCTTCTACTCCCCCATCTCCTCCTCCTCCCCCTCGTCGTTCTCCTCCTCCTCCTCCTCCTCCTTCTCGTCGTCCTCTACCTCCTACACCTCCCTTCTCGTCCTCTTCNTCGTCCTCTTCTCCTTCTCCTCCTCCTCCTCCTCCTCCTCCTTTCCTCATCTTCTTCTTCTTCTCTCCACCTCCTCCTCCCTGTCATCTTCTTCTTCGTCGTGCGGCAGCCACGTCAGCACGCGCATCTTCTTCTTCTTCCTCTCCTCCTCCATCTCCTCCTCCTCCCCCTCCCTCGTTCTCCACCTCTCTCTCCTCGTCCTCCCTCTCTCTCTCTCTCTCACACACACACACACACACACACATCATCATCACACACACACACACATCATCAGACACACACACACACACACACACACACACACACACACACACACCTTTCTTCTTTTTCTTCTTCCTCTCCTCCTTCTCCTCCTCCTCCTCCTTTCGTCTTCTCCTTCTCCTCCTCCTCCTCCTTTCGTCTTCTCCTTCTCCTCCTCCTCCTCCTTTCGTCTTCTCCTTCTCCTCCTCCTCCTCCTTTCCTCATCTTCTTCTTCTTCTCTCCAGCTCCTCCTCCCCGTCATCTGCTTCTTCGTCGCGCGGCAGCCACGTTAGCACGTGTATCTTCTTCTTCTTCTTCCTCTCGTACTCCTCCATCTCCTCCTCCTCCCCCTCCCTCGTTTTCCACCTCTCTTTCTCCTCGTCCTCTCTCTCTCTCCCCTTTCTTCTTCTTCTTCTTATTCTTCTTCTTCTTCTTCTTCTTCTTCTTCTTCTTCTTCCTCTCCTCCTCCTCCATCCCCTCATCCCCTCCCCCACCCTCGTTCTCCCCTCTCTCTCCTCGTCCTCCCTATCTCTCTCTCCCTCGTCCTCTCCCTCCTCCACTTTTTTTTTTTTTTTCCTTTTTAATTCTCCATTGAAATTGACATTTCTTTTGTTCCTTGTTCTCGCAGGTACATCGTTAGCGTCTGCCACGTCAGCAGGTGTTTCATCCGCACCTGACACGTTAGCAGCCGCCACGACAGCAGCAGCCACGTGAGCAGCAACCGCTTCAGCAACAGCTGCAGCACCCACATCAAAAGTCACTGCACCTTCCAGTGCCATGTCAGCAGTCACCACGACAGCAGCAGCCACGTGAGCAGCAACCGCTTCAGCAGCGGCAGCAGCAACCGCTTCAGCAGCAGCAGCCACTGCACCTTCCAGTGCCAGCTCCCGCAACAGCATCAAAAGCAGCAGCCACGTCAGCAGCAGCCACTTCAGCAGCAACCCCGCACTGACTCTGCAGCATCACCGGTGTCATGGCAGGGGAACAACGGAAGCCGTTCCGGGAGGACATGACCTGCAGTAGGGACCACGTCATGTGGACTTGTGTCACTCCTGGGCAGATGCTGTCGGGCAATGCTCGTGGGTCAAGAAGACTGTGGTGCAAACTCTGCAACAAGGAGTACTCCGGTAATCGGAAGTGTACGTGGGAGCACTTCATTTTGGCGAGGGCGTCTGCCAGGTGTCCACATTCAAACCTGTCGATCAGGAGGAGGATGCATGGCATCGGTATACAACTGCCATCGGACCTGCATGAGAGGGTGCAGCGCGTGTTGGAGATGGAGAAGAGCGACGAGGGGGACACTCCTATTCTGGGTGGAGGAAAACGGGGCAAAGGCGGGATCGTTGTGGATCCCGGGGAGGCACCGGGTGGGAACACCATGGAGGTTGACATCGGCGAGGATGAGGGGACGAGGGGTGTTGTCACATGCGGCCTTGCTACTGCAGTGAGGGCCGGTTCCTCGCAGGCTGTGGTGCTGGAGGCGCGCTATCGGGCACATCGGTCCGGCACCGCATGTGGCCGCACGGGACCCTCTCGGCCGCGTCACGGAGGAGTTGGACCAACCTCGACACAAACGCGCAAATGGAGCTTCCTTAGGCCGCTCCGGCCGAGTGCGCCAGCCATACCTCTCGTGAGCCCCTACGACAGGATAGGGCCTCCGCGAGGCACAACTTACCTCCACCTTACGGGAGCTGTCACCTCCCTTCGGTGGGCGTATCCCCGCCGAGCTACCAGTCCACAGTACAAAAGCTACTCGGTTGCAATCGCAGAGGTGGACCAGCCAAGGGCGTTTCTCGTTCGCTGTAGCATAGGGGGTACGTGAGGTAGTACGCCTATCAGACCCGCACACGAGTCGACATCTTGGGGGGCTGAAGTCCCAAGCGCAACTCGTCGTCGGTCGACTAGGACGTATCCCACACACCACGCGCACACCACTTTACGAACACAAGAATAAAATACACACACACACACATACAACACGACACAGCACAAACAACGCGACAATGCTCCTAGTCCCTCGGTAGTCATCCCATAACTTCTCGACACGGAAATCGAATAGGCGTCGCGCGCGAGACTTAGTATAAAATCGCGCGGATGCAGGGCTAACTTATATCGACTCGCAATGCAAACGTACGCAAGCGGTCGCAGTGATGGCTTACTATGTAGTACCCATACTCGCGCGGTCCTCGTTAATCTCGAGGATCGCATTCGACACTCAAGTGTCGGCTGACACGCGCCTTGAGGGTTAATCTCTCGACGCTGGACAACCGCCATGCGCGGTTGAAGACCACACACCCTCTTCTGCACCTTATGCAGAGCGGGTGGTACACAGGTCCACACTTGTGGTGGCAGTCGCTTCTTACTGCCCAAGAGATGAGTCTCACTCCGGGCCTGGGCGAAAGTCAAGGGGTTTGACTTTGACTGCTGCCATGGACTACAACGTCCAACCATACAAACTCTAAAAAGCAAGGGTAAAAAGGTAACCCCCCTTCCTTTTTGAGACATAACCCAGTTAACCCTTATTCACACTCACAGTAGGCCTCTCAAATACTCAGGCACCTATAAATACGTAAGGGTTAATTATATCGGACGATCACTCCTCACAGTCACAGTGGGGCTCCTTTTAGCCATATATGTATGAAATCGCAGGCAATCACATCCAGAGTCCGAACCACAATCATACCTGCAATCACATCAAAGATTCAACCAGAAGTCCACTTACTACACGGGGTCAACTTTAACCATTCCTCGCACTCATACCCCTCGCTTTAGCCACACAAGCCTCACTCGTGCAACTCTTAAATAAATACTCAGTACTTTTGTTGGATAAAGTCCGGGTAAAAACACAACAAAACAATTCAAATCTCAAGGCTAAAGCCTTTAGGTTGAGTGTCAGGAGTGAATTGGAGTTGAATCGTAAACCGACGAATCGGCAACCGACCTGTTATCAGTGATAACAGAAGGTGGTCCTTATAGGATCAAGCTGAAGCTAATCCAAGTCTTGAATCGAAGTCCAACGAAAGTCTGTATCATAAGACAGGTCAATGCCCAAGCTAAATTATCAGCATATGGGGTATAAACCTCCATAGCAATTCCCACTCAGCTACCTGCCCACCAAGCCTAGACCTACCTCTAACCAGTGCCCAAAGCAAAGGTAGACCAATGGCAGAATTTCCCCTATTCAAGGTGGATTGCCAGAGTCGTCACCTGTTAACATATAATCTAACTCCCCTAAATCAAGAAAATTTCGGCAGCGCTTCCCGTAGGAAAAGTGCATTTTCAAAATTTGTATCAGCCCAAATATGAAACCAAAAATAGTCTTTGACTTTCCAAAGTCCAATTTTGTCTAACTCCCTGAATTAGCAAAAATTTGGGCAGCACTCCCTTTAGAAAAGGAGCCTTTCCAGAGTTTTACTAAGTCATATATGAACTTTAAACAAGTTGAGCTTTGAAAGGTCAAGAATTGACTAACTCCTTGGATTTGCAGAAATTTCGGCAGTGTTTCCCGTAGAGGGAGTAACTTGCCAAGATTTATACAAAGCCCAAGTATAATAAAAGATCCCAGAAAATGCAAAAATCGATCTAAGTAAAAAGAACTCAGCTCTGAAAATGCAAAAATTGAACTAACTCCTATCGCTCTAGCACGAGCCGAGCCTCTAAAGCAACTACCTGTCAACCTGAAACTCAAACAAGGTAGTAGCCTCACTCAGCCGTATGCAATGCCAAAACATAAAGGTAAGTACCCTCACCATCCCCAAGCCAACCTGAACAGACCATAGTTCATGACCTCTCAATGCTTTATCCCTTATACCCAACTTACATAAGGCATAAAGTCAAGTTGTCCAATCTTATGGAACTTGTCTGACCCAGCCATTGAGTATACACGAACAGGTTGCACAACTACTTCTCTCTTCCTTTTGGGCATATGACTAAGCCGTTCATCTTTAGAGCAAGGCTCAGCCGCCCTGAACTGTTTAATATCCAGGTTATATATACCTCTCTGAACTTGGTGTTCAAAAGTTGTGCATAGGACTGAGCTGTTCATCTTAGAACAAGGCCCAGCCTGCCCAGGGTTACCTTCAATTATACTCTTAGTTATACTCTTTTCACTTCATGATAAGCTATAGCCAGGCCGTCCAATCTTATGGAGCCCATGCCTGGCTAGCCTGTTCATAAATAGGATAGTATAAAATATAGTCAAACTTTAACCTTTTGGGTTCCACCATATGTGAGGCATTTGGCCAAACTATCGAATCTTATGGAACATATCTGGTCCTTTGCCAGGTTCGTTTCTCTCTGATCCACTGTGTGCGGCATGAGTCGAAGGCCGTCCAATCTTATGGACATATCCTGCCCTCAGCGAGAATTACTCCCTCAGAATGAAACAGGAAGGGGCTGAGCCGTCCAATCTTATGGACTTGCTCATGCCTTTTCGATAAAAAAACAAGAGAAACAGAACAAACCCCAATCAAACATGGCGACCAAACCCTCCAATCTTATGGTACAGGTTTGGCCCCTGAAAAGTCAGCCACAGTCAAACCGTCACAATTCAGAGCAATCAGACCGTCCAATCTTATGAAACTGACCTGACTCTCCATGCAATTCAAAAATAAAACACAGCGGTCAGGCCGTCCAATCTTATGGAACTGGTCTGACCCCATAGGACCCCGTCAGCCTCAGGCAAAACCACCTTTCACCCACCCTTCCCCCAGATGCACCCCTTCTTGTTCGCAGTCTGCGTTCAGGCAATCAACAAAACCGAAACTGTGATTTCACACACATTTCTTTACTTAGTCTGATTCATGTCCTGCCAGTCAATCCAAAGTCAAAATAGGGGTGCATACAGTATACTAAGTCAAACTTAGCAAGACGTACAAGTAGGGGTTATGCCACGGTATATAAAGGGAAAGCAAACGGTTACCTTCCAATTCCCTGCCTCCAGAGTCTCGCCTAGGCTCCGGCAGAGCTCCCGCAATCGGTGGGGCGAACCTCCCACAAAGGCCTTGGCGCGGATTACGGGTTGCAATCCCGCCTGCCGCCTTCCTCTCAGAACCAAATAAACCAGACTTAGAGTAAGAAGGGCAGGAAGGAGAAAGTTTCAGACTCTCAGATCCAAGGGTGGTGCGCTCAGACTCGCGCGAGAGGGCCCTGATACCTTCAGTTGCCTGATGGCCCCGCAATGGTGGCCAAGAACGCGCAGCGGCTTGGTCAATTTTAAGTCACACCACCTATCGCCGACCTCCTAAATGGCAGCAATAACCTCTCTTCTCAAGCCAAATTACTGCGGCACAGCCGACTGCGACAGTTGACCATAGTCGGTGGCTGCACGCAGTAGACTAAGTACGCAATGACCAACAACAATGTAACGGCTAGCCATAGTATGCAGCACCTTAGGCTTCCTCAGCCCACAGCATGCCGTAGCCATTTGCGCATGGCCCACAAAAACAGCAGTCGTACACGGCCACCAACAGCAGCAGCCCAAATGTAGTCTCCAACCCCGCTGCTGGCCTCACTCAGTCGAGGCCGCAAGCCTGAGTAAGCCCTCCGTTAGACTGTGGAAAAATCCACAGGCGCTGATTCTGAACACCCTCCCCCCCCGAGCACACCAGTACTGTATCCAATACCTCTCGTACTCTGGCACCCGGCGCCCGGCCTATACTACTCACCTAGCTAGCCTATCCGCGATCACGTGGCTTCGAGGACCAACGCACGTGAAGCCTTCACCAAGGTTGACCGTCCACATACATCAGGCACGCTTTCTCCCCCTTAATCGTTCCCCTTCGTTTCCTTCCTTGATGTACATGGCCCACAATAGTGGTCAGGTTCGTTCTCTTTCATAATCTGAGAACCTGGCGCAAATCAGTCGGGGATTGTTATCTGAAGAGCGGCCGCCTCGCGACCAAAAATGGGAAGGACAGCAACGGATGGGAGGAGCAATTTTGACCCCTCTCCTCCCATCGCGCTCCCTGTATACATGGCCAGCAGCGCAGTCAGGTCCGCGGATCTTCGTCAGCAGGGTGGGTTGAGCCGAAGGGAAACTGCAGCCTGAACGTAGGCGCTCTTCACAGGTAAGTACTCCAACACCGCCCCCCCTTTTGCTATCTGCCTACTGATCTTTTACACCCCCAACCTCAAATCGGCGTGGCTCACCGTGAAATCCCCCACCCGCACTGTCTTCCCCCCCGACCTCATCGGTCGACGGGTTCTTGCTTACGCCCGCCATTCTCCTTGCTTCTTCTTTGCTCTCTCTCCCCTCCTCCATCACCAAACTAACACTACTACTGAATTTGCGATGACTGAAAGCACAGATTTTGGCTTTTAGCTTGCCAAAATCCACTGTGAGGCGAACGCGTACGACCCTTTTTCCACCGAATGCACCCAGCATCCTTCTCAGTCTAGGTTCACTCTACTTTCAAACTCCAAATCTACTCACTCATTGCCAATGCTAACCTCACAATCAGATTCGCCCGACGTTCAAACCCCAATAGAGTTTCTCCACTCGCTCAATTTCGTTACGAATCGAGTGGAAAAAATCGCTTTTCTTCTTTCTACCATAGCCCCTCCCGCCATCTCTTCACGCACTAACTTTCTCTGCTAACTTCTTTCCTACTCACTCCCTGGCCGAACTGACCCTACCATTACACTCGCCCGCCATTAGAACCCCCATTTCGAATCCTTCCCCGCCCTTTTCTGTCAAGGAACGGGCAAGATACTCATTCCTTACCCCCACCTTCTCCTCTCTCTGCCATATCTCGCACAGTAACTTCTCTCTGTAACTTCTACTGTGCTAATCTAACACTAAAACTAACCTCGCCATGCAATTCGCCCTACCCAAAACCCTCAGAATCGCCTCCTCCCGCGTCAAGAACCCTGAAGTATTGCGCACGCACCCTCTTCCCTACTGCGCCTCGGCTCACCACCCCGCCATTGCTGTCCCCGAGTGCACCTGGCACCCTTCGCTGTTTGGGTTCATCCTGCTCCGTTTTCCCCCTTTCGTTGCTATGTCCCTTCCACAGTCGGCCCCGCTCTGTCTCAGCACTGTCGCTCCGCCCCACCGTGGCCTGTCCATCGGCCTCCTCCCTCTCCGGCAACTTCCGGCTCACCCGCTGCCATCCTCACTCTCTCTCTCTCGGATGCACCCGGTCCAGATCCACACCGGGTTCACCCCCCCTTTCTCTTCTTTTCGTCTTCGCCCCTTCGCCCTACCTCAGCGTCCGCGTTCCGCTCGCTACTGCACAACGATCCGACCGCTGACCCTCCTGCGCTATCGCCCCGCTGCTGCGCAGCGCTGTCTTGCTAGCTCCGCTCCCCCGTCATCCCCCCTCACTGCCTTAGTATTGAGTGCCTACTGCGCACTCACCCCGCCCCTCGCTGCCTAGCACTCCCCAGTCGAGTTACGCCTCTCTCAGCCTTACCCGAGGCCATTCAATGTTGGGCGCCGACGCTTCAGCAATCCCGGCTGTCCTAGCGGACATCGAAGATTTATTCGATTAGTCTTTCGCCCCTATACCCAAGTCCGACGAACGGTGAGCCCGCCCACCTGGTATCGTTGCCAACCCGCAACCGCCTCCTCCAGGCCGCTTTTAACCCGGCAGAGCCCACCACCCCTTCGGACCTCCAATAGCCAGATCCCTCCGGGGCGGCCAGCCACCGCATAGCCTACTACAATCCTTGCACGGGCCTTGATGAACCGGCCTGGTGCAATTCTTGACGATAGTAACACGGGTCGACATGCTCCCTCGCTGGAGGCTTGGGCACGGGTGTCGCCACTATGGGGTAGCTTCGGCGCAGTCACGAAAACAGTTTGTAATTGCACTTCAGGCAACCCGCGAATACAACGCACCCCCGTGCGACTCTATATCAACCCCGGTACCGCGTCCGAAACGGGACGAGAACAGGGGGAAAGTAAAAACCCAAAAATAGCAAGAGGTATAAGAAAAATAAAACTTAATAAAAAATAGAAAAAAACAGAACCGGGAAGAGGGGAGGGGAACTATGAACACCCTGCCTCCCCCGTGGATCGGGCCCGCCGCCGCGCCCACTAACAAAACCGGGGGGGATAGCCCCGTCGGGCCCTCAACCCCTCAGGTTTTGCTCCACGCTGCTCCGCTACAGTTGTTGCGCCGACGCCCGCTGGCCTCGATCCCCGAACCTCCGTATCGTCAACCCAATTATCGTAACCTATAGGGCTAAGCCCAAGCCTGAGACCAATATCCGCGGAATGTTATATAAGGTGGCGCGGCGCTGCGCTCAGAGCCAGGGAAATTGGCCTGAGCCTCACCTCTGCCTACTACCGTGCGCACGGCCGCCCAGCGTCTGCGCCGACCTACCAAAGCCGTACCACGACCGCCACTCGTGCCACTCCGAGTGCCAAGACCTACCATAGTCACACTGTCGTCGTCGTCGCCGCCGTCAAGGTCGTCCTCCGTACGCACGCGTAACTCAGTCAAACGTACCAACCATAAAAATATCCTTAAATCCTAGTCTAATCAAGAACAAACAAAAATAAAAGTAAAGATAAAACAGAAACAAACCGTCTGACGCCCGCGACGACTTTATAATCAACGATCGAAACGGAATCACGTGCGCCTCAAACTCGCGTGCCCACACACTCTTTGTTCCAGTCAACCATTCGGCCATCGTAACCATACAAACGCAGCCGCGCCTCGCGCGGTACACTTAACTTTAAGCTAAATTCATTTTTCTGTCATCTGCAAAAACCAGGGCGGATACCCTTGTAAGGGTATTCGCGCCGACAGCGCACACGTGGCCCGACGAGGCAGACGAGCATCAGGAGGTTTGCGAAGAACACGAGGCAGGAGGACATGGATAACTCCTGCTGCGAGTTCTTCATGGACAACGCCATACCGTTCAACGCTGCCAGAAGCAGGAGCTTCAAGAAGTTCATGCTGACGTGTATCGGACCACAGCCTGTGGGGAGTCATCCACTCGTGCCTACTGGGTACAACCCCCTCAGGTGTCGCCTGCTTGATCGTTTGAACAAGACGTTGGTGGATGAGGAGCAGGTGATCCGTGATGACTGGCAGGTGACTGGCTGTACGTTCATAACTGATGGCACCACAAACATTTGTGGGCGATCACTTATGAACTACATCCTCGTAGGCCAATCGAAGCCTGTTTTCGTGAAGTGCGAGGATGTGAGCGAGGGAGACAAGGACTCTGCAGCTGTCGTTGCCGGGTGGAAGCGGTTCTTCATAGAGTGGGGGGTGGAAAAGATCACGGCGATATGCACTGACTCTTTCGCCGGGAACACGAGTGCTGCGAGGATGTTGAGGGAGGACCCCGAGTTCGCGCAGATCTATTGGATCCCTTGCACGACGCATTGTATGGACCTCCTGATGCACGATATAGGCAAGAAGGAGTGGGCGGATGAGATCATCACCAAGGCCAACAAAATAGTGAACTTTGTCCGGGTTCACAGGTGGCCTCGGTCGCAGTTGAGGACGCAATTGTCGAAGTACCCTGACTTGAAATGCACCTGCCTCCTTCGGCCTGCTCAGACAAGGTTCATGACAAACTATGTGATGCTGCAGCGACTTGAGGTGTGCGAGAGGGTCATCGTGCGTATCGTCACCGGACACGGTTGGGAGGCTATGCCATGGCGAGGGGATATTAGGGTGAAGGCCTACTTCGTGGAGGAGACAGTTCTTGACAAAGCATTATGGGCTGATGTCAAGAAGCTGATTGCCGTCATGAAGGGGCCTTATGGTGTGTTGCGAAAGGTGGACAAAGATGTCCATTGCTTGTCACGCATCTATGATATGGCGTGTTGACTGCCTGGCTTCGTTCGCTCGGCCCCCCTCTCCGCGGACCAACGAGATGACCTTCTCAGGGATGTCACGATCTGTCTGAGTCTGATCTCTCGTCCACCCACTCCTCGTCGGGGACATCGTCGTCATCGTCCTCATCGACCTCATCCTCATCCTCCTCCTCCACCTGCACTAACCTCTGCGTCGATCTCGAAGTGGACGGTGTTGTGGGATCGGGGCGAATGTTTGTGCTGCCCACCGCAGAAGCAGTGCCCTCACCAGCTGCCTCAATGTCATCAACTGCCTCCGTGACATTTGCCATGTCACCCTCCAAGTCCTCGTCCTCCTAGTCGGCTGCGAGCCCCAACCACCGTTCTGCAACAGTGGCCCCATCCTGCCCCCTACTCTTGAGCCTCAAGCTCCAGTGCGAGGCCACCAATTTCTCGGTGCGCTGGTGGTGCAACTTGTTCCTCGACTTCGTCTGCACGAGAGCCCAAGTGCTCCAGTTCCTCTCAGTCGGAGAGGAAGTCGTCCAGATGGAGAACACCTTCAGCGCCAACTCTCGGATCTCTGGATGCTCTGCACCATGCGTCTCCCACCATAGCACCGCATTGTCCTTCTAAGCCCGTTTCTTTGCCTGGGGGGTGTCGAAGACTCCTCTCCCCAACTGGAACTCATACAACTGGTCCATGAAGTTGTCAAATCTTGAGCTACTACTCTTCCCGATCAGCCGCTCCTCAACGCTCTTGAACTGTGCCATGAGGTCGACATTACTAAAAAAAGTAATGTCCCTCAACATAGGATCCAGCAGACGTGCAACGGCGTGGATGGGGCTGAGAGGGCATGGTCCCCTATGTTGAAGGCACACGATCTGGATTGAGGTCCCTGACGCGGGCACGACCAGAGGCGCAGCAGGGGGAGCAGCAGCAGCAGTAGGAGCAGCAACAGCAAGATCAGGTTGAGCAGCAGCAGGAGCAGGTTGAGCAGCAGCAGGAGTGGGTTGAGCAACAGCAGCAGCAGCAGCAGCAGCAGCAAGAGCAGCAACAGGACAACAGAAAAATTGTCACTGAATTCCAACAACTTTTCATTTTGATGTCCAACTTATTTAGGCCACAAGGGCTATGACCAACTGGTGATAACAGGTCTTCAGCTGTATTGAACTACTTCCCAACATTATCAACTTGCATCTCAACTATTCCATCATGGTTTCCTACAGGTTTCCAACTTTTGTCTTTATTCTCCAACATGGTTTCGTACAGGTGTCCAACTTTTTCTCCAACAAGTTGAGAGAGAGAGAGAGAGAGAGAGAGAGAGAGAGAGAGAGAGAGAGAGAGAGAGAGAGAGAGAGAGAGAGAGAGAGAGAGAGAGAGAGAGA